TAGAAAGATCGCGTTCTCACACCCCACTGTCTACATGGATTAGAAATATTCCAAGCCGACACTGTCTACGCTGTAACTTCTAGGCGGTTAGGCCCCAAGCGGGTAGGATATGATATTTATATTTTGTTCGGGGCGGCGTAGCCGCCCCGAACCCAAGCATTACTGTCTATACATCCCACTGTCTACATGGGTTACAAATATTCCAAGCGGACACTGTCTAAGCACTACTACATACGTTTAATTTATTACACATAGTCGGTATGACAGATTTCCTAACCTCCATAGTCGTCAACTTTAACGCTAAATATCTCGGTTCGCGAGGCAGAGCGACACTTTTTTCTGCCAGATTCTTTCGTTTCATGCAAAAACGCGTCGAATGAGCCTAATTTTATCGAAATCGGAGGTGAGGGAGGTATTCTGAATAATTACCCTATCATGTTTCGGCGTAACAACAAAATAGCGTAAAAAGCATAAAGGCCCGTCTACAATACACGGAGTAAGAAGTAAGAGTAAGAAATTGACCAATCACAGTCGATTATTCTTCTCACATTCGACTGTGATTGGTCAATTTCTCACTCTTACTTCTTACTCCGTGTATTGTAGACGACGCCTCAAGTGACTAGACAGAAACTGATGTTCAAGTGAAATGATATGATTGGTCAGCTCAAGTTACGCTTACGCAAGTTACGCCGCATGTGACGGCACCCTAAGGCTGCGTTCCACTTAACGCTCGCAATGCTCGCGAGCATCGTTTGTCCTTGTTTAACATTTGATAAACGACAAGGATGAAATAATTCCACGAGCGTTTTTGAGCGTTAAGTGGAACGCAGCCTATGGATACGTCTGTTCGAAGCTCCCTGTGCCAAGCTGATTTGATGTGCCTTTTTAGAGAATGAGTATGCAAGACATGGAAATTTGTGGATTTCTCTACGTTAAGTCGACGAGAAAAAGGTACAACGTAAAGATCTCACAAAGGGTGAGAAAAAGGACTTTGGCTCTGTCGAAGGTATGGAAACGTTTATGGTGCTCAATAAGGAAATTGGGACCCAGTCTCGGCTTGCAAGTGCAGTGTGATCAGAAACTTAGCTATCACGACAATGCTTTGAAGCAAAACGAGAAGGACAACTCAGTTGTGATACCACCAAATGCCATCGTACATCGTATTCTGTCCAGAACGAAGCAATTCGCGTTCAGTATATCATCAGCAGTGGATAGGAAGCCTCTGTTATCATTGTCCGCTAATTCGGAGACTGAGACGCAGCGTTGGATGACAAATATCAGACATTTGTTGAAGCCTAGAAGGCACTGTTGCATTGAGAAATCATATGATATATCCATGGTTGATAACGCACATTCGAAGGCAGCAGGTTTAATTGGTTGGTATAGTTGTCAGTTTGGACTTAGGCAACAATACAGGCCCAGTTTCACTAATATAAGATTAACTTCAATCTTGATTAATTTATTCTTTGTTTTTCTAATTTTTAAAATTAGGAAAAGATAAAGAATAAATTAAACCGATATTAAAATCAATCTTACATTGGCAAACTCAAGCTTAAGAGTGTTTTCCAATAAGAGATATGTATGGCATAACAATTATTACATCCTTGTCTGCAATGCTAAACAAAGATGAAATGATCACTGTGTTTTAACACTTTTGCTGAAAAGTATCAATATATACAACTAAATCAAGCATTTAACTTCTAAGCTAACTGGTTAATAGAGAAGCTAGGCAATAAAGAAGAATTAATTATGTAGACTTCTTTCTATCATTATATATGATCTCTTTTCCTTTAACTAACCAATGTTAATTGAAAGGAGAAAACTATATGCATATACTCCTTTTTTCAATCAATCCTGGTATTTGAAGGAAAAAAAAGAAAATATATGAAAACAGTACTTTGTCAATATGTCAATTTTACATTTTTAGGAAAAAACATTTATATGTTTTATCTAGATATATATGTCGTTGAATATATGTCCTCAATTTAATGAATCTGTGAATATCAATGTGATTTTTATTGTTTGGCAGGTTTATATGGAGATTTGATCGCCAACCAAACAGGAATTTTCATTAGAAATGTTCATACAGGCGAGATAGCTAAAACTTTCAAATGGAAGGAATTCACTCAATTCCATTTAATGACAGCAGGTCGTCCAGAAGATGTGAAGCGTATTTGTGTGATACATACCAGCAAAGAGTTTTGCTGTGGCATTGGAGAACTCTACATATTTTGTCTTGACGCTAATAAGTTACTTCAAGACTTGGTAACACAGGGCCGTGGTCCAAAACACCGACAAAAATTTTTATATTCTGATGGTGAGAATCTTGAAACAAGGAAACACAATGAAATCAGTAGTCTTTCTTCACCATTAAAGAGCGATGCACCTCTTTGTATGCTTAATACAGACACTAATTGGTGTGTATTATTGTACAGGATGACAACAAAAGTGGCCAGAAAGTTTTGTGTTTATCAAGTTATTAATAATAAATGTATTTTTACAGAAAACTTTAGAGTGTTAATTATATTTTATTAAATACTAAAAATAATATAAAATAGCTACTTTTAATTTGGAAACATGTTTTAAAGTATTTTGGGAACGCATCAACAATGTGTATCTTTCCACCAATAAATTCTCTCAGACAGTCAATAGAGCGTTCTTTAGTCCATTACCTGATGAAATTCTTTTGATGTAGAATCTTTGATATTTATACGTTATACTATCCAGATAGTACGCTGATAAAAATGATAAATAACATCAATTTGTTACCTGAGTAATGATTTAATAAACATGCAAAACTTTGTGACCAAAATTTTTTGTCATCCTGTATATAGAAAATTAAGTAACAATATTAATGTAATAATGCATAATTAAATTTGAAAAATATGTGAAAAACAGTTTAAGAACGTCGATCAGCACTAAGGTTGTGAAAAATATGTACCACTCGGAACCTAATCTAATATACAGTGAAAAACTTCATTCCTGTAACCACAGAAAATCAAATACCTCTATTGCTTCTGGAATTTATGAAGAAATTATGGATAATATTTGCTCTCCTAAAATGTCATTCACTTCCAATGAATGTAAGGATACAGATAAAATGTCATGCAATTTGCAAATGGAACCTCCAGCATTACCACCACGACAGAAGCCTAGGCCAGAATACATAGAAGAAGATAGGTAAGATTTTTTTATTTTATTTAGTTACAATTACCTCCTGAGAAAAGTATTAAATATAAAATTAGAACAGTTTAAAAATGTGACTCGGTTTTTCTCAAAACAGGATGGATATAGAACAATATTTTCATCAAGAAATTTCCAGTCATTTTAAATCAAGGCTGCAAAATACAATATGTACGCAAAAAAGTACTCTCACAGATTCTTCCAGTTATGTTCCAATGTCATCACAATTGAGAGACAATATGCTTAAGTCTGATGTTTTGGAAAATTCAAAAGAAAATGACTATGTAATTATGCGATAACATTTATATGACGTAAATATGTGGGTGAGTCAATATGTATTTTGATTTTCTAGGATTATTTATTGACTCGCCTATCATAATTGATATAAAGATTAAGAAAAAATGTAACAGATAGCAAAACGATAGTAGACAGTAGATAGCATATATAAAATATAGTAAATATATATGTAGAATGTAGATAGTAAATATATATAAAAAGCCGTCCAAAATGTACTACTTCATCGCCTTTTATATTCTATAGTAATGTACCATAACGAATGAGAGTTTATTAAAATTTAAATAAATATAATCATTTAATAACATCTTGTATATAAAACTATTATTTCAATACTGTTGAATCGATATATTTTTATTTATTTTGTAAAAAAGATAAAAGTGAAACATGTGAGAAATTTAATGTCAAACTAAAAATTGTACAAGAACAATGGTTTTTAATCAGTGTCTTATAATTAATGCGCGAGTGAAGTATTATTTCTAAAAATATATAAAATTTACTTTATGAACTACTATAAATTATATCACTGATATATATTTTCTATATGCTTGTATTTGACTTATTCAAATGTTTTTTATGTTACACGATACGCAATATTATAAATAGAATTCTGTTTCGAATTTGGTAGCGAATTATAGATCGTCTTAAGAAAAAATGCCGAAAAAAGGAATTAAAAAGATTATGTATTAATTTACGCATGCAACAACATATATAAATTTTTAAACAAAATTTAAACAATCTAATTATTGACTGATTAATATCGCGATTTTTATTATACAACAATAGTATACAATAAGATTAATACAATAAGATTAATAAATATTATATTTTAGTTGGAATAGTGACTCCTATTATAATTTATATTTTATTTTATACAATTTTTGATAGATTTTTTTCACTATTTTTTTACATATATATATATATATATATAT